GACATTTTTAATTTAAATTTGTCACAACACTTACAACCAGTCACTCACGTGACTCTACACTCCTCACTCGATTAAGCTTGCAATATTACAGCTCTTGTACACTATGCAAACAATAATTTGTGAAATGTTGTATTTGGGGAGGGTATTTGCTATTATCTCTTCTCTAAAATAAAAATCCTTTAGAATTTTCATCTTCCTAATTTAATGTTTAATGGTCTGATTAATAAACACAACGCAGTAACATGCAAGACAGTACAGTATTACAGCACAAAATCTCAAGAAAGTAGCTGGATTTTACTAAATCAAGACTAATGTAAGAGCAACGAGAGGAGAGAGTCCTGAAAATTAATTACTTAATTAAATTCAGCCTTAAAAAAGAATATTACTTTTCTAAGTTCCCCCTTGTCACTTTGGCTTTCAAATAAAATTTTAAAGAAATCTGTACTTTTGGTAATACAAAAACATAACTGCACCACCCGTTCACAACTTGTCTTTAGCAACTACATCTTTCAGACAGCTAACCTCAATGGGCACAGACATTTCCTAGCAAATACAATTAAGGATAAAAGAATACAAAGATAATAGAGTAATCATGCTTATCTAGGTTAAGTTTTGCAGATTTTTTTTGTATTCAGTTTAATGTACACAAAAGGGAAAGTCACTTGCATTTGGCTCACTAAGCTAAAAAGACAATCTAGCTGAAAAGATATTCCTGAAAACGACTGGGACAACAGTATTATGGTTACTGTTTGGGCTTGTTTGTATCAAAACATCTATGACACCACAGCAACAATAACTTTAATTCTCAAAATCCTCTTTCCTCCACAGTTATGAACTGTTTCATTATACATGTAGACTTAAAACCATACAGAAATAAAAAGAATTTGACTTCGGCAAATATAAAAAAGCTAAGATCTCTCAACATACATTTAATTATGCACAAATCTCCACACTTTGCAAATAAAACCCACCAAGTCTGTAAGCTCAAGGAAAGGATATGCTAATTGAATGAAATAATGGAAGTCTGATGAAGCAAAGAAGTAATGAAAAGTCTTCTTCAAAGGTATGAAAAAGAGGGTAAAATGTGATGCTGAACAGTCTTCCTTTAGCACTAATGAAAATGAGAGGATGCAGAAAGACAATTGTACTGACAGAATCTTAATGATACAAGTACCACTTCAAACTGCTTGGGAAACACCTATGTGAAGGAATACAGGAGTGATGGGGGAACACACATATCACTGATGGGAATGCTGATCCACACCAATAAATTCTATTCCCTTGTCCCTTTCCTGTGAACCAAATTAGAACAAACACAACGTTTTCTTGTCTGGCAGCCATCACTAGCCCAGCAATGCTAAATACAGTTTGCAGATCTGACTGTAGTCAGGAAAGCATAATTTGTGACAGAAAATACTGCACTTGCAACAAAATGCTTGCTGTGTTTCCACCTGATCAAGTGTGGAACTTAACACCTCACATTTTAAAAGGGAGAAAAACCCCCTTGTTGCTGGCTGAAACCAGCACCCCAGAAACAGAGAATCCAAGTTACAGTGAGTGTTTCTTTAGCAGCCTATGTAAAAAATGGTGCCTGTATTCCACGTGTTCTTCACCACAGGGACAGCCACAGCAGGAGGTGAGTTTCCAAAGCAAATGAGTGCTGAAAACCTACAGTCAAAAATTCATTTGTAAATAGTTATATGGCTGTTTTGTTCAATCTGCTTCCAGATAACACAAAACTACTCTGTTTACGACAAGCTTGTCATTTCATCAAAGCAAATTCTCTTTTCCTGACAAGTATCCTTTGTTTAACAGAACTGTTAATTAAAAGTAGTTATGTGACTCAGAAATGAAACTAAATGGGGAATAAAATGTATTTCAGAGGGAACTGTATGAATCTAACAAGACTCAGACTGTTGTCACTGCCCAGAAGTAAATTCTTTATTGGCTGTCATGGGCAGCAAACAGAACTGAACAAAACATGAGAATACAACGGATGCATTTTCAGGTTTTAATACTCAAACTGAGACTAGCCCCAGCCCCAGAGTCCTCCCAAGGCAGAGTCTAGCTTACTGCTGCTGTTGAGGCTAGAAGGTGGCTGGGGCTCTGCTGCAGGATCTCTGGGCTTTGAGCTGCCCCAGTTTTGGCCCCCTCAATATCCAGGTCTTACTCCAGGAGCTCTTGGCTTGTATCTGACTAGAGACTGGGCTAGGGGAGAAATGAAGAAGTAAACTAGGTCATGTATGCATTTAAAATGACATTTTTGTTTCTACTTAAAACCTGCTGTTGTCCTTCCAGGAATGCATAAACTCCAGCCAAGTATTTTCTTAACATGAACACAGGCCAAATGCCAGAGATTACACATTCAACAAAAAGAAATACATTGAGAATGTAGCAGCACAGGATTTTTCTTCAGATGCTAACATAAAGACTACATGAATAAAAACAAAAATAGAAGATATTTCTGTCTCCTTACAGAAATTCATTAGGATATTTCAGAGAGTGGTGCCTTTCAACAAATTCTCATGCTTTTTTATGTCTGTCCTGGGTAACACTCGTTGCAGCAATCCAGAGAAGTGCAGCTATGAAGGTGCCTTCTTACAGTCCAGTAACCTCCCCATGCAACAATTTTAAAGCACATTTTTATGGCTAATCCATTGCTGGACATCCCAGCCATCACAGATAAGTATTATGTGTGCATACTGGCCAGGAGAAAGGCATAATAAGATGATGACAAATATGATATAGCAGCAGTAAATGAAGAACAAAAAACAAACAAAAAATTCCAGTGCCCACTGGAATTCCAGTGCCCACAGGGATTCACCACAGTCTTTAACTGAATTTACTTCAAGTATTTTTCTGCCTTTTAAAAAGGAAATAAACAAAATAAATACTTCAAAGCACAAATGGTTTTACAATTAAAGAAATGATACCCATAGATCAACATGACAGACGTAGAACTGAAAACAAAACTCTGTACTACTGAGCATTCCTTTGTGGGTCTGGAATCAGATTATCCACCCATCTCCCCAAACTACAATTATTTCTGAAGTAGAATTAGTAGGACAAAAACTAATGCACCAAAATAGGATTATTCTAGTCATGCTTGATATACACAGAAGCATCGAATATCCTAAACTGGAAAAGGCCCACGAGGATAATAAATCCAACTCCTGGCCCTGCACAGGACACCCCAACAGTCACACCATGTGCCTGAGGGCATTGTCCATTCTCAAACTCAGGGTTGGTGCTGTGACCACTTCCCTGGGGAGCCTGTTCCAGTGCCCAACTGCCCCCTGAGCAAAGAAAATTTTCCTGATATCCAACCTAAACCTTCCCTGACACAACATCAGACCATTCCCCTGGGTCCTGTCACTGCCACCACAGAGAGAAGATCAGTGCCTGCCCCTCTACTTCCCCTCAAGAGAAAGTTGCAGACTGCAATGATGCCTCCCCTCAGTCTCCTCTTCTCCAGGCTGGACAGATCAAGCCACCTCAGCTGCTCCTCATACAGCTTCACCTCCGGACCCTTCATAATCTCTGTTGCCCTCCTTTGCATACTCTCCACTGGCTTAATGTCTTTTTTATATTGTTTATTTATATTTTTATTTATTTATATTTTATTTATTTTTGCATTGTTGTTATTATTATCAAAACTGTTCACAGTTTGTTAACTTCCCTAAAAGAAACCGCTTTGTGACTTTCAAAATTAACTATTGCAAAAACAAGATGTTCATTTTCATTCACAGAATGACTTCTTCAAGAATTTACATTATTCTTTCATTTGTGTTCCAAGTGAAATTTAAACCCAAGTTTATTTCCTTCCAGTTTCCTTCCAGTTATACTTGTTATCTGGATTCCAAGAAAATTGCTGCAGTAGAAAATGTGCACTTGGCTCTGTTCGGGGTTTTATTTTGATGTATAAAAAAATCAAAATTAGAGGCACCAGATCCCTCAACAAGAACAAAGATAAGGAATTACTCCTCTGTTTAAGGCAAAAAAAAAAAAAAAATGAACTCCCCTTTTAAAGGAAAAAAAAAAAAAAAAAAAAAAAAAAAAAAAAGGTTAGTCCTACTGAGTTTCAGGGATCTGCACACATAGCAGGAATCTTGAATTCCCTCTAGTGTTTGCACAAAAAAGTCCCATACAGCAAGAGGTAAAACTCTTTCTACTCCAAGAACCACATTACAGAGCCCAGTTAAACATTCCTTGACACAGTCAAACCTTGGCTTTCTTCTGGAGCATAAGCATGACCGTGTTTAAGCTGGTCCTTGAGTCAGGTGATTGGTGTGCAGCACACAAACCTCTGGTCTGGTTCAAGGACACTGCTGAGGCACAGCCACGCTGTGTGACTGCTGCCCTGAACAAACAGCTCCTCTTCCCACTTCAAGGCAAGAGGCACACTCGAAGGGTAATGTGCTGAAAAGCCATATTCTTTCTGTTCACCCCAGCTACTAGTCTTTTTCTTTCTAGTCATTTTCTTTCTTTCCCCTCAACATGCACCCATGTCAAAAGAAATTACCCTTTTTTTTAACTCAGAGCAGCTTCTGATTGTTCTCATACATATGTTAGACTTTAACATCAAAATTGTTTGCTTTCTTTCTCCCAGTTTAAACATTAAGGGTTTTCTTCCTGTTTCTGAACTACAAAAAATAAATAGTAATAAAAATCAATTATACTCTAGTTACTGATGAGAGTTGTCTAAACAGCCAGACTAGTTATAAACAGTCAGTGATGACAGACTACCATATGTTAAGCTTCCCATTACTGTGCCAGAAAACATTATAATCACCTTAATTATAGAAACAGTGATTTTTCCCCTCAGTGGCGATGTAACACAAGCAAGTGCACAAGCAGAACTCCTGTTCTGCAGTGCATTACTGTCTGCAGCAAAGGCCAGCATATGCACGTACTGCCAAGCACTTCTGCAAACAGATCAAGTTGCCAAGAACACAGCTAACCTGAATGGTCTCAGAAGGAGCAAAGAAAGCAAACTTTACCTTGAGTGTTTTGCTGAAATATTTTGTTCAGATCCAAAGAGGAAGCTCTGGAATGTGATTTTTGTGGCCTTGGAGGTGGAGTAGGGGGCTCTTCTCCCTTTTTCATAGCATCTTCAATTGATGTGCTAGAATAAGACCTAAGGAAAAACATGTTGGGGAAAAGCAGAAAATATTTTATTTCAAAAATTAATTTTAAACAACTATAGTGAATAGTACCTAAAAATACACTGATCAGAAGTCAGGCTCATAGTGGAAATTCCTTGCCCTAATGACTAAGAGCTCCCTCTTACAACAACACAAATTTACTTGGCAACAGAAGGACCCTAAGCATGTGGAGAAAGGAATGAGTCATGCTTACAGGGCTAGCATTTTTCAAGGCTTTTTGTAACACAGCTTGAGGCCTTCTTATGTAACTTTGCCAGCAGGATAATTGTAGCAACTATTTTGAATAAACCAAAGTAAAATTCCCCACACAGACCCCTGGGAGTTTCTGTTGCCTTTCCCAACTGCAAGGGTAGTGTTTATACAGGTAGAGATTCAATCTATCTCTTGCAAGTACACATTTTGTAATTTGTGATATTCTCACTCCTAGAATCAGTTTTTAACAATTAGAATAAATTTTCCATAGGAAACAGTCACAAAAATGCACAAAATCCAGAAAAAGTGAATGTCTCCAAAGTGACTACAACTGGTCAAATACATGGCTCAGTATCTCTTTCCAGGTCCTCCCACAGCACATTAATCCCAATGTGGTGTGGTGAATTTGCTAAGAATTTTGATTTTGCCAAATACTGTTAAATTTTTTCAGCTGTTGTAGTTATGAGTTTAGAAAAACCAAGGCCAAGCAAGACCAAAACTCTGTTCAAAATGAGCACGGCGACATGAGATGTTAGACTTACTGTAACACATACTGCATGTCAGAGCAAGACCAAAAGCACATTTGGTAAAACAGAAATTACTCCCATTATCGACAAATGGACCATTTTTTTTTTTTTTTGCCAAACAGATTCCTAATATCCAGTGCCAGCTGTTCAATTAAGAGCATATTGAACAACATCCTATTACCCTTACTCTCCAGGTCCAAGTTTGTCCATTTATGAGCCATTTCAAACAACTACTCATGAAAAGCTAATGGAGATTCTCTGTCTCCCTGTTTCACCTCATACAAATTTGCAAGACTCCTAGATTTTTCCACTCCATTATGAATTCCCATATAAAATCAAGGCTTTTACTCCTTTTAATGCAACATCTTCATTCAAATCCCATTCAAGATCTTCTTTAGGGAGAGGTTTATCAGGATTTGATATTCCTGCTCCCCCAGTTTTCTGATCTAGCTCCTCAACTTCTCCTACTCAGTCCTTCCTTTGCTTTTTCTAGAACTACTCTTTTTTTTCTTCATAAATAAAATTCCTAACCAAATTTGTGTATCTCCCCAGCTGGGGTTATGTGTCATCATCACAGATTTAATAATACTATGCGTATCATTTGGATTGTTACAATGAGATGCAACATCCTGTTTCCAAGTCAATAACTCACAATTAGCAAACAGTACATGCACATAGATGGCTTTTCCAGCAGTCCCACAATTTTTCTTAAAGGAGCCTGAATCACTGATTTACTTCATGTAAAACTTGTTCTGGTTCTGCTAGAGACAAGACTTCCTGATTTACTTCTTTCTCTAATAGGACTGTCAGAGTCCTCCTCACCCTCTGAATCAGAATTTTTAGGACCCACCAGAGGAGCCACTAACAATTCTACTTGTTCATTATCACCACCAAGTTTACCAGATTTACTTTTCACACCACAAATTCTTTCACTGTTTTTATTTGTTTTCTCAGTTACTAAATATATTCCAATCTGGTTTTGAAGAATCAGGTTTTGAAGTCTATTAATACACGTTTTTTCGTAACACCCCAATCATTCTAAAGAGAAAAATAAATCCCTCTGTGGTATTTCAACCCATTTCCAAAAACACAGCAAGTCTGAGTTCAAGGATGTGCTCAAGCATCTTTAGTCTCAACTTCTGCAATGAAGCAGCGACATACAGTCAGATGTGAGACAGCCACATGTGACAGAACAGTCACATTCAAGTGACTTTTTCTGAGCTTGTTTAAGCATTTAGTGTTGTATGTATTTGTGCACATTTTTTGCATATTTGCAATTTAGTAAGACAGCAAGAAAATTTAAAACTCTGCAGAAAATAAAAAGCTTTGGCTAGCAGCAGAAAAATAGCACACAAGGCAGTTCAGCTTTCCCGAATACAGGTCCTAAGAACAGAGGATTTCAATCCTCAATCACCATGCTTATAGCTGATCCTCTCTTACTAGCAGGCTTTGACAAGACTATAAGCAGACAGCTTCTGATTATACTCTCATTACCCAAGCAAAAAAATCCTAAGCAGAGCCCTCTAACTAGCACCAAAAATAAAAAGTTTAAGGTGAATTAACAATATGGCTATACACCAGTAGGTAACAACCAACCCAGGATGTAATCCATTTATATCCAATGCTTTCTGGCACAGGTTTCCCTTTTCTTTCAAACATCCAAATTCAGCAGGTGTCACTTCTAGCACACAACGGTCCTGAAGTCCTTCCATCACACACCAACCAACCACAGCCAAGCACATGGATGCCAATAAAAGAATTCACTCACCCACAGCCGAGAGCTGAGCTACTACTGCTGTTTCTGCAGGAATGTGCAGTGCCTCCCTCCATTTGAAATCACTGTGCAGGTTGCAAGAGCACAGGATTGCTGAGGATGTTCCCTGCAATGGGGTGGTCCCAGCTGTCCTGCCGCGACGCCCCTGGGGCTGGGCTGGAGGCAGTCACCACCCTGACAAGGCAGCAGGGCTGGGCAGATAGGCAAAACGTCCAGCACCTTATGACCAGAGATCATGGGGCCCTAGTGCAGTATTTATGTAGGGTCTATAGCTTACAGATTCCTTCTGGTAAATCTGTCTGATCTGAGCTGTACTTCCAGCACAACACCAATTAAAAAAAAAAAAATTCAACACCAGTTCTGATGCCTGGTGTCTAACACCAGAGGAACACACGTCTTTTCCTGAAACAGGAGTGAAAGCAGTACCTGGATCGTGGTCTGGCTCTGAGTGCATTAGGTTCTTGAGCAGCTGGAATAGAAAAGAAAAAAGAACCGTTAAAACATCGTATTTTAAATAAATGTCTTCAGCTTCAGAATCAGTGTCCATTAAACATGTGAGTGTTGCAAATCTGGATGTGAGAGTATACTCATCTCACATGAGCAATGGGGATTGATTTTCACTTCTCCTTCCCCTTTGTTTTCGTAGTGTGTAAATGTCCTAAGAATTCAAAAGCCAACATGTAGTGAGAGCTTCACCTTTTTAATCTGGTTAGCAGAACACAGGAAGAGGAATAGGTCTGGTAGATCTGACCTGTAGTCATAGATGTAGTTGTGATACAGCAATGTAAGGAACAATAAAACTTTTTATAGAAAACATCTTGTTCTTAGTCCAGAACTCTTAATCTATTACTTGTCTGCTTCCAAAAACACAAAGGTTTATGTCCTTCCTAAATACTTTAACTAATTAGTATAAATGTACATCACCCATTACAAAATATTATCATGTCACGTTGAGACTGTTTTGACCTTGGGAACAAAAGGTATTTGAATGAAGAAAGCTTTTAAGTCTAAATGTTGATCAAACATATTTCTATTAATGTAAAAATGGGTTTCTGTTATTTGGATAAATTCCAAATACCCTGCCACATGCAGGTTTTATGTGATAGGAAAACAACAGTGCTGAATTATCATCTCTAGGTAATTCCTTGAGGCTGTTCCTTGCTTTACACTGTCTTTTCTGTTACTCTCCTTACTAGAATCAGATAATTTTGAGAAAACATATCATCTGCGTGATTGCTTTCAAATTCATCCCACAGAGATATCCTCAAGGTATTACAGAAGCATCAATGATCCTAGTGCACATACAAAGTAAATCTTTGTATTTTTCTCAGTCTACTAATCAAGGTACAACACTCAAGAGAAACAAAGTAGGTTGGGGAAAAAAATAATTGTCAGAATTTCTATCTCTCTTCAGATATACAGGCATTTATCACCAGCTACTACAGAGCATTTCTCTCATCAGCTACTACAGAGCACTACCTGAGAATACAATGGATCCTCCAAACCACTGAGCAGGAGCAGCCTGTGGCAGCAGCTGGCAAATACTGAGCTTTTAATGGCTTGCACTGTACTACTGCACAGACCATCCATAGGAGGCTTTGGGCTCTCAGAAGACAAGCAGCAGCATATGGCACATGTACAGCCACACAACAGCTCTTCATAAAATAAACTGCTTTTAGGATCATGCAGAACTGGTCGGTGTTTTGGACAGAACAAACCCCACCACAGCTGGCAGTGACCACTTATGAACCAAGTTGCAGTAGATTGTCATCACCAAACTGGTTCACAGTCATTCCAGATTTCTCTGCAACAAACTCTTCCTAGCAACTAAAGAAGGGAGAGGGAATTAATATTAAAATATGCAGTGGTGATAATCCTCCTCCCTCTCTCTGTGTCAAACTCCCAGAGAATACAACTTCAGACACTGCTTCCCTACAGCCATATGACCCAATTTTCCAAAGCTGAAATTGCTGATTATTAAATTACATGCACAATTATTAAATATGCCACTTAGAAATAGGAAGTATAAATCCTTTCCAAGCTAAACCACGTTTAAGACTCTTCAAATTTTCCTGTACTTATGGAGACTGTAATTCTATTCTAGAAAGCCTTTCAAATAAAAAACCTGTAGGTAAAACTGACATTCAAACTCTCCAAGGACATTCTGTTGAGGTAAACAGGAAAGCACATAAGGAAGAGAGAATTCCAAAATGACTAGTAATAAAAAACGATAGCAATAGAATACCACTGCCAAGGATTTTCTTTTTAAGCTTCTGAAAAACTAGGAAATTCAAGGCTACAATTACAGAATACCCAGACTTAGCTTTCCTTTCAAAAGAAGTAGCATAATACAAAAAAATACTATGAAGCAGGTAGTTCATTATTAGGACATACAAATAATTGTGGCAGGATTTCCAAGAAACCTGCAGCTATTTTGGTACGTTCAGTGTGTGCACACTTCATGTCTGAGGTGCAGGTTTATACACATACATGACAAAATCATTCAAGATGATACAGAACTATTTATTCAGTTCACTAATTTTCCATATTTTTACTGCTATTGTTACACAAGCCTAACTTTTATGAAATGGATAAGTTAAACCTGTTGAGCAAATAATTTACATTGATTAGTCAAAAGTTTGTACAATTCCTGGAGTAGCAGAGCCTGATGGACTGAGCAGCTTGGTCTGCAGTGAGCAAAGAGGTTGTGAAGTTCCTGGTTTGGGTGCTGAGCTGCTCCCGCAGCGCTCTTAACATGACAACTTCATTTTAACATTTTGAAGTATGCTGATTTGGTAACTTTTAACTGTAGCCTAACATCTCACACTCAACAGCTGCCTCCTTGTTTTGAAGGCTTAAGATCAGGTGGAAAAATTGTGCTGAAAAAGGTGAAAGGCTAAAGAAAAAACCAAAGCATTCCTCACTAGTCAACATCAATTACTCATCTCTTATTGGTCATCTAAGGAGAAATGTACAATTTGAACGCTTGGAAATTTGGCTCTCAGTCCTTTAAAAGGCTAAGGTCAACAATGATCCTTGTACTTAGGAGTCTAAATACACTGGCCAGATATTCAGAATACTGAGCATATAAAGTTCTTTACTGATTTCAAATTTCCAGACCTTCTGATGGCAAAGAAAACTTTCACAGACTATCACCTTTCCTGAGTTTACATAAACAGCCTACATGAATAACCAAAGAAGCATGTAGAATTTCTCCCACTTCATCCCAAATGAGTTTTCATGCTGGAGGTTAATGACTACAATGACCTTTCAGAATGGTGACTGATTCTGAAACAACTACTCAATTACTGTGCTGCATCTACTCGACTGGATAGATAAACATTTTTACTTTTCACACCAGTTGCAGCATGCAACCTGAGAATGTGCTGGCTCAAATCCTCAGTGAGCAGCACAGCAAGAGTGGAACCCTGCAGGGACAAGAGCCACAACGATGGAATTCTGCCACTGTGCCCCTTGGTATACAAACACAGCAACACTGTTGGAGAGCACAGCAGCATGGGGAAGACCTCCCTGACCAGGAGATGAAAGCCACAGGGGAAGGAGATGTGCAGGTGACAGTAAGTTTTTTCCCTAAACGTACTAAAGACAGAACTGAAAGTAAAACTCCCCTGTGCTCCTGGGCAAAACCAGGGGAAGGAGAACAGAACAGAAAGTCATGCAACTACCCTCTCCTTTCCCTGAGAGGGATGTGCAAGAGTGTGTGTGTATGTGTGTAAAGGAGAAGCAGCAATCTTTTGAGAATAGAAGCTCAAGATAGCAAATCTGGCAGCTTCCAAGTGTTTGGGAAGAAGCCAGGAAAAAAAGATTTGGGAAATGAGGCATGCAGCTGTTGAGCAGCCATGAATAAATCGAGCTATAAGACAAAACTGCTGTGACAGACATGTGGGGTCCATTTTCTAAATCAAGGATATCTTCATGAGGAAAAACATTCATGCAAAAGGAAGAGAAAGCAAGATTTTAGCTTGACTGGGACCAGGGAGGGCTTACAACATTCTTACCACTGTAGAAAGAGATTAACAAAGAGGTTTGCAAGGGAGGTCTGATGAACTGAACTGAATGCAGGGGAAGTTTCTGGAGCAAAAAAGTCATTTTGAAATATGCTGTTCCAAAAATAACATTTTCCAGAATGATAAGAACAAGGAGTGTATATTGGAGCTAGAGAGAGAAAAATCAGGAGTGGTTTCAACACAGAAACAAGCCCTGAATCAAAAACTTGCATCAGTGTCTTAAGTGCCTCAAGGTCTGTATTTCCAAAGGCTCTCTGTCCTGTAACTCCTTGACACAAAATAGGAAGGCTGAGCTATCACAAATAAACAGGCAATTTCAGAATAATTACCAGAACATTACATAGTTATTCTATACTTTAGATGAGGTACAATATTCACGCTCTTGCATCTTGTTTGTAGCACAGAAGAACTTCAGAATCTTTACAACAGCTTAAAACATTTTCTACACAGGAAGAACCCATACACTAACAATGAGGGAAAGAAAGCAAGAAAACCTTTTGACAACCTGAAAAGGTAATTAATATTTATCTTACAAATAGTAGTCATTATGAGGTAAAAGCTAATATCAGTAGGAAAGTAGTACAAAATCAAAAAGTTCTTTCAAAAATTAATCAAGTTACACTAATTTAGGCTTACTGTGATATAGAAATACTTGATCAAAATTCTCATGCAAGTAACACATGGCATTTTTTTCCTTACCTGCTTTCACAGTCAAGTGCTGAAATTCCTTTGGTATAGTTTTGAGAGTAGTGCTTACTTTAAGAGCTTAAGAAAAAAAAAAAAGAAAAGATAATTACTTTAAGCGTATGTGGGTAGAATCTAGAAATATCAGGTCTGAGAAAGGAACACCTAAACTGGTATGAGACGTCTTATAACGCCAAACATACTTGAAAAGTAGCCAAATACCCTCAGAAAACTGAAGTACTCAAACAAGTAACAATTTCCAAGAGCACAAAAGTCAAGACCAGAAAGAAAGACCTATACTCAAGCTCCCAAATAATCTCAAATTTTGGTAATTTCTGGGGTTGAGTGCTTATTCTTCCACATTCCCCTAATGCCTCCTTTCTAATAGAGTTTTTAATGCACCAGAGTGTGTTTTGATGACACTCAGTGTTAAATGACCACTTGGAATGAAATCTCTCCTGCTCTAGGATGAGCCTGCTTTAGCAAGGAGGTTGAACCAGATGTCCCTTCCAATCTGACCTGCTCTATGATCTGCCTTTATCAACCAAAACATGTGGGAAAAGTTCTGGGTCTTCTAACCCAGTTCAGTTTACATTATCTTCCAAATTTAACTATATTATAACCAAAGTGAAATTAATTTACTTGGATACTTTTGAAAATGCAGGAAAATTTGCTTCTACTGTCCTCAGCTGCAGGTTCTCGACTTCTGGGGAGACCCCTCAGTTAGGAGAGAGATCTGCTCTCATGTTTGTCAGAACAGTAATAAAAGGTAGAATAAAAGTATTTGTTCTTTGGCTGAAAAGGCAGCAATTTGTGTCATAAATACAGAATATATTCAGCCCTGAAGGAGGATTGCATGTCTCAAAACAGGTTCCCATGTGACTTTAACATGTCAGCTATAAAAATAAAAGCACAACTTCATCATCTGAACAGGGGAAAAAATATTCCCTTAGTAAAAAGTAAATCTTCCGTAAACATTTAAAGCAATAACCTTCAAGGCTGAAGTCCTTCTCTGGTTCATTATACATTTTGCAACAAAACAAACCTTGTCAACAAAACACTGATTTCTTGGAATATGCCGGCGTGTCAAGATGTTTTACAAACACACATCAATCCTTGACAAACTTTCTTTGAAAAGGGGACTCTGGGAATCTGTCAAACTCTGTCTCACCTGAGTGTGGAAGGTGAATCAGGAATGTGGACTACCTGGTCCCACAGCTCTGATGCAACCTTAACGTGTGGACATCTGGGAGGCCGAGATATTTTTTATTTCAATTCATACATAATCTGCAGCTCTGAGAATCAGGCAACAGAATACCCACAACTGTTTTGTTTCTATTAGGGAGGGACAGCAAGTAAGAACTGGGAAAAGTGAATAAAAAAGGGAATGAATGGTTGTGTGATGATCCAGTGCCAATTCTGGAAGCCATAAAAGCTACTGCAGCAAAAAAGAGAAAGATCACTTCAATTTCACATGACTTGCTGCTGATGAATGTCAAATGAAATGAATGAATCAATTAATCTTTTCAGTCCAATTTGACTAAAACTTTCATTTTGCAAGAAAATACAGGGATTATTTTTTTTCAAATAGTAGTAAAAACTTATTTTGAAGTATTGGTGTTTCTTGCAAAAATGGAAACTGAAAATTTGGCACAGTGTAATCTTTACTCTTAAAAAATTCCTGATAACAAAATTTTGTTTAAGTAAGAAGCACTACATTAATTGCCTTAGGGCTAGACATATTTTAGAAGGTACATTTCATATCATTCACATATGACAGAACTAATTTTGAAGTAAACCCCTCCATTTATTTGTCTTCAACTCAGCTGCGGTGAGCTGTCTCTTTAAATCTTTAGCAACACACAGCCAGCTTAGAAATTAAACACATCCTGCAAACATAGGGGCTTACTAAAAACACACTAATTTAATCCCTAATGGAAAGAAGTTATTTATTTGAATACCTTGTTTGTCATCTTTCTTTCCATCTTGTAATAGGGCAGAGTTATCAGGTACCTCTTCAGCTGATGACTTCTAAAGATAGAAGATTTGTTAATTACACTGATTGTTACAGCTTGTACCTTTCCACAGCCAAATATTTAAGAATACAGATCAACACAAATAATGGTGACATTTGCTCTTGCACCACAATTTCTTTGTTAGATAAAGAAGAATTGAGGACCTATAGAAAGACAATATAACTACTTTTCAAGGTACTGCAGTTCCACACTGGAAATTAGTTAAAGGAACACTTCAACAGGGAACAACTGAAGGAGGTAAGGACTGTATGAAAGGAGAGACTTCTCCCAACAGAGCCATATGCACACCTGGGTAAGGATAGATGAAAGTTTCTCCAGCCTCCATGAGAAAAGTCTCTCTAACCAAAACTCCAGCTGTACTGCAGAGCCTGACAGTTTTACTTTAAAGGCTCCTGGCTGATCCTTGAATTACTCTTTTCTTTCAACATGCAGTCATAGAGATGTGAAAAACAATTTCATTAGCAAGTCTGTTGGAGGCTCATTCAGGCCTTTGACAGCAAAACAGGGAATTTCTCCCCAGTCTTATTCCTTGATTTTCTGTTTTTTCAGCAGCAACTTATAGGCGTTTATTGTTCTTGGAGCTTCTTCTGGAATAAATTCTACCTCTGTTATCTGTACGAACAAGAATACACTCTGCAAGCAAATATTCAAGCAAATATCAGAAACCCTAAACTTCTCTAAATATTAAGTGATGCTGGTTTTTCCCAGGGAGTACGGAAGAGGTTTTACCTGAAAATGTCCTGAAATAAATTTGGCCTAAACAAATGAATTGAGAAACCTAGATTTCATAGACATTTTTAAAAGACCACAAAAATCTCAAGTCAGTTCAGAGAGGAAAACTCCACAGTAAAGGTCAATCAGATTTGTTTTATAAAGTTTCTGAGGAATGGGATACCCCAGTACTTCTGAGAAAGAAACAGAGAAAAATATGGCTTGAAGACTCTGAAAATGTATGAACAAAACATTTCACAGCCATAGCTAGCCCTGACACTCAAGTGAAGAACATGAGACCACAGATCTAACTCAATGCGTGCTTTAATTGATAGAATGACTTTCAGAGATTTCAATGATCTGTGAGCATGACATTTCTGAGAGAGCCCAGAGGAACCCCAGCCAGTCATTTTATGCATGCTTTAATTCCAGGATTTTGGCAGTGAGAAGACTTGCAGAAAAGCACCAAAGGAGAGTGGGAGACAAAAACTTGAGAAAAAAAACAAACTGTGAAGACAAAACTTCCTTGGTAAACAGAAGTCAGTCACCCGTGTCATTCCCAAGCATAATATCAGCAGCCTTGGTGTGTTTTTCAAGTTTAACAGAGCCTAACATGCAGGTGACGTGTCTCCTGACATTATTTTCTTTATGAATGTATTCAGGAACTACTTCTATTTTATTGCAGTATTGTAATTCAGCAGTCACAGTAAAAACAGGCATCTGAAATGAAATTAAATAGCCTGGATGGATGATAAGTGGAAATTTAAAAAGACATGGAGGTAATGCATAACAGATTACATTGATAATATAATATTTTGAATGTAGTGATCAAGTATCTAAAGTATAATTCCTCCCCTAGCCAAGATACAAATGAAATTGCAATAGTGAATTGCTGCACTTCCCACTGAGGGAGATGAATGAAAGATGAATTACTGACCTCCCAAATGATATTCATTCAGTGTATTAATTCTGAATGTAAAAACATAAGTTGAACAAAAAAAAAAAATCACGTCAAAATAATTTTCAAATCACTTTTGTGGAGATTTTAAAGTCCATTAATCTTGGACGATGTAAACTGAAGCTTTTAAATTATGTATGTGAACAATACATAATCATAAATTTGTTTACATTTCAAATATAATTTAATTCTGTATTATATCTGTATCTTCTTTTGTATTTTAGGTTGCAAGCCACCCAAAATAAGGTCATCATCAAGGGATTAGGTGATTCTGGTAAAGGACCTGCCCATGCTGCCAACATGCCCGCACCCTGCACTACCAGATCTGCAGTACTGCTTCCGAACCCAGCGTGGCTGCTGTGGTTTGGCCAAGCTGCTGTAGGATGAGCAACACCCCCCAGGGATATAACATGTATTTAACAGTTCCAGAAGATACACTGGGTGCTCAGTGTGCTGGCTGCAGCATGGCCCAAAGTGAATACTGTAGTACATAGAAGCTTAGGAGATTCTGTTTGGTGGTACCACTACCAAGATGGATTTGATGAGGGAGCAGCTTGGTTCTGACCCAGGGACTCCCCAGAGCAAGGCACTGGGAGAACAGCCTTGCTGAGCTGCCATGACGTACCATTATTTTTAAACTTGGAAGAGTGTCAGAAGGGCCAGTTCCTGCAGTCAAGTCTGCCACTTGATTCACTGCCTTAACACTAAACCTTTAAATCCCACAGCACTTATATTGAGAGTTGCAACATTCAGGCACAACTCAGTGGCCATGATTAGTTCAGCTCTATAGGGTCTTTAAAAGCTTGGGATTTTAACCTCAGTGTTAAACTCTTCTCCTTAATTCAGTTTTGCTTGAAGCAGACTTCATGGTATCGTACAATGGTTGGGTTTGGAAGGGACCTCTGGAGATCTAGTCCAAAGCCCCTGTTCCATCCAAACAAACCTACTGTGTTCAGCTGTGGGTCTCTCACTGCCAGAAAGGACATTGGTGTGTGTTCATAGAAGGGCAATGGAGCTGGTGGAGGGTCCAGAGAACAGAAGGAGTGCTTTGGGGAGCTGGGGTTGTTTATCCTGGATAAAAGGATGCTCAGGGATGAATTTATTGCTCTCTACAACCATCTGAAAGAAGGCAGTGTTGGGCTAACAGTTGGAATTGATGATCTTGGAAGTCTTTTCCAAACTACATGATTTTATGATTCTAGGTCTGTGTTGAAGCCTCATATTTTCAACCAATTCAGACTGAGCAGATACTTCACCTGAACACGGCCCATGTGCCCCACTGCCCCTCCTGCAGCAGCCCTGCAGGACACCAGCAGGTAGATCCTATTTCTCTGAAGATTCCAGAATTCACAAGTCCCTCAGTGACTACTGTGAACTCTTTATGTGAGAGTACCTCTTGAAAAGCCTGTCAGCCCTTTCCACACACAGAAAAAATGGCTGAGCTGGGGGTTTGAGATGGTATGGTAAGAAGCTTAGAGACTGCTCAAGTCCTCTCAGAGACTCACAGTCCTGCTGCTCACATAGCAGTCTCAGGAAGCTGGTCCAGCCCCCTCCCCTCTGCAAGGTAAGGACCCAGCTGACACCTTCTCACCTCTGCCCGAATGAAGTCCCGAGTCTGCTGACTGCTTGGCAACGGCTCAGAGTAAGAATCAAACAGTGCACAGTCACGCATGGGCTTCAAACAAGCTGCAGGGAAAAGAAAAAGAAAAGGAAAAAGTAAAAAAAATCCAAACCAACAAGAAACCAACCCAAAGCCAAACACAGAGACACACCAAGTCTTTGGTTACATACTTTTTAGAAACCTGTTCTAGCATAATTTTGCTCTTCATTTCTACAACACAGACCTAATCCATAAGACATGGATGACAAACACCATGAAGAAAATCTTTCTGTCTTGCATCTTAAGTAAGTCAGTGTCATTAAAAGGTTAGCTTGTATAATTTCTGTTGTAGAAATAATGGTGAAATTTGGAAAAAATGTTTTCTTCTCCCAGTCCAGTATCAACTATCTTGTATCTTATGTCTTATTTATATCTTATTCTCTTAGCAATGTTAAAGGTACTTACATTACATTACTAAAAAACATTGAAAGCATGGGGGAAAAACAAAAGGGAAAAAAATCACATCTAACTTCTCAAAGAAATATTCACAATAAGTTAATTTCTATCCCACAAGCTCAGGTCCTTCTGCTGGTATCACTCTGGGTTAGCTCCTCTGAGATAAATCTGTCTTATGAGCTGGAAAACATCTTTTTTTAAAGATCAATAAAAGGCAGAACAACCACATTTCTAGGTTTTGGCTAGCATTTATTTTATCTCAATATATTATGCTCTTGGAAATCTGTCTTAATTTACAGTACAGTGGGTTACACACAGGGCAAATAGCTTTTGAGATTTTGCAAATTAGTTTTAATAAAAAACTTCCAAAAAGAAGGTGGTGGGTCAAATTGTCAATGGAGCTGTGCCAGGATAGCATTTGGACCAGTTGTGCTTGTAGTTTATGGTACAAGCCATAAAACTAGCAAGATTAATGCATTCTTAAATGCTTTTTTGCTCCAAGTAGTTTTATTTGAAGCTTTAACAGCACTCTTATCAGATGCAAATACTTCAATTGAACCAAATTATGCCTCATTCTGAAACTAATGCAGTGACCTAATGAAAAACTGTATTCTTCTTTGGAGTCCTAAGAAGCCAAAAAACTTGAAAAAAAAGTCTAAATTTCCAGAAATCAAATTATGAAAACATGAACACACAAGATTTCTCTTGAAAATTGCTTTTGACATTTTAGGTAACTGTATGAGGAACTTACACACTTGTCAATGCTCTGATTTCAGAAGTAATACAACCAGAGCTCTATGCTTTTCTGTGATTCACAGTTTCACAGTGTGTTGAGATGTTCTGCTTTTCATTAATGCAAGTCTTTCAAAAGACATATTTGTGAATCCTGACCAGATAGCAGAATGAGCACGAGATATTTTCAGACCCTCAGATTAACCAGAATTAGTTCATTAGCTGAGGTATTTAAAGGACCCACAAGAAACAATTAGTCCTTTCATCTCTTCCATGTAGATTTGCTTGAAATGCTTGGTCTCATGCAATAGCATGAAACAATAATCACCTAAGAAAATGGTAGAACTAAGTGCTGAAATGGACAAATAGGGAAAAAGAGGACTCCCAGGGAACAACTGCAGCTTACCATGCTATTTCTCCCATTGACATAATGATTCCCTGCTACTAGAGATAGTTATTTCCATTGCAGTTTTACCCAAAAAGGTTCAATGTGAAGACACATCAAAAAGAACCTGCATGGATGAGTTTACAAGCCAATTTATCATGAGACCAGGCATGAAAGTAGTGAACAAAGTGGTGGTCCTGGAGGGAAAAGGGAAGTTGTAATTTGACAGGGGAACGTAATCAGAGAGACTAAAAGTGATGAAGATTTGGAAGTGCTTGTTTTCCAGCTTATTGCTTTGGATATGAATCTAGTGGATTACAGGGAACATGACTCCATCAGAAATTATTTCACAAATCTGATACAGGGTCAACATTTAATTTTCCTAACTGCAGCTTGATTTGTTCTCTTCCTGGCTTTTAATATATTCAGTGTCATCAAATTTAATGGAGATTTTATTAGGTCTTAAATATTATCCCTTAGCACTGTAATTATCATCTGTGATTAATCCTCCTTGCCCTCGAGAGTCATGCACATTTTTAGATGTAACAGTATGTATTTCAACATTCATTTATAATTAAAAGAGACATAACTGAAGAGAACAAATGAAAGGGCAGGTCTTTCACTGCACATTGTTACTGAAGTATGTTATATTTTGGATTAATTCATCCTTGTGCTACACAAATTGTTGTAATCCTCCTGTCATTAATGCAAGCTACCCGCAGAAGTATCTACAAAAAAATTCAACCTTTGATATAATCAGTATCTCCATCTAAAAAAATATACTAGGTTATTAAGTTCTAATGCAGTCCAGTATGATTTTTAACAAATCTTCAAGATATAGATACTTTAAGGAAAAATCATCAAAATAATTAAAAGCTATATCATAGATTCACAGAATGGTTTGAATTGGGAGAGATTTTAAAGATTACCTAGTCCCAACCTCCCTTACCTTCCACTAGACCAGGTTGCTCTAGGCCTTGTACAACCTGGCCTTGAACACTTTCAGGGGTGGAGCATCCACAGCTGCTCTGGGCAACCTGTTACAGTGACTCACTGTAAGTAAGCCCTCAGAGTAAACAATCTCTTCCTAAAATCTAACATAAACCTGTCCTCTTTCAGTTTAAAGCCACTGCTGGATTCCCTTTGCTTTACAGGTATTCAGCTGCCTCTTTATCTGTCCTGACACCTGAAGCACAACAGAGCAAAGGGGCAGACATTAAGAGGCAGGTAACTGTTCCACACTGCATCCCTATCTCTATGCTTTGATATATTACTTCTTCAGCAATCACCTCATAAGTACAATTAAAAACACATCCCTTAAATGCAGCTGGAGAGCACAGCACAGAAGCCCATTCCAGGATGGAAGGTGAACCTGTCTTGCACACGTGTTGGATTTCTGAGCTGGCTGCAGGGACGTGGTTTGCCACAGGAGCTTTACCTGCTTGAAGGTACTCGGGCAGCAGTGTCTCTGGCAGTGTCTCAGGCAGCTGGTAACCATTCTTCCTCGCAACCACAAGGTGGAAAGCGGCACAAAACTCCGGGAGTGTCAGCGCCCCATCACAATCCACATCACTCAGCTCCCTGTGGATAAAACAGGCACACGTTTTCCAAGGTGTTACCTCAGGGAAACATACGTGTGCCATCACGTGGGAGACAAAGATGCAACTCTGAGAAGGGATATTTTAACACAAGACAAGCATCTCTGTCATGTACACATGATCCTGACTTGCACATTTGTCTTGGTCAAGATGAAGCAAGCTGATTTTCTAAAACTGACTTGCCACTTTTTTCTTTTTCAGTAAAGTACATTTCTTTAATGCATCATGCCATAGAATAGGATGGTATGGGTATAGTAGAATGTGAAATACATAATCTATACTTATAGAATCATACGGGGTTAGAAGAGACCATGAACATCATTCCAACTAATTCCATTAGGTAAGTCCAGGTCTAATTCCAACTCACCTGCCATTGGCAGGGAACCTTCCACTAGACCAGGTTATACAAAGCCCCATCCAGCCTGGCCATGAACACCTCCAGGGATGGGAAGTCCACAACCTCTCTAGGCAATCTGTTCTAAGGCCTCATGATCCTTAGAGTAAAGAAGTCCTTTCTAATATCTAATCTAAACCTGCCCTCCTTTAGCTTACATCCATTTCTCCTTGTCCTATCACTACATGCCCTTGTGAGAAGTCCCTCTCCAGCTCTCCTGTGGACCCTGCTAGGTACTGTAAAGCTGCTACAAGATCTCCCAGACCCATTTCTTCAGGCTGAATAGCCCCACATCTCTCAGCCTGTTTTCATGGGAGAGGTGCTCCAGCTCTGTGATCAACTTAGTGGACCTTCTCTGGACTTGTTCCAACAGCTCCATGTTTTTCTCATGCTGGAGAGCGCAGAGCTGGATGCAGCACTCCAGATGGGGTCCTTGCCAGAGCAGAAGTGCAGAATCCCTTCCCTCGCCCTGCTGCTCACACCTCTTTTGATGCAGCCCAGGATGTAGTTGGCCATCTGAGCAGCAATTAACTGTACATCGTTCCAAGGGTGGAATTAACCTTCCAATATCAGGAAGCACTTTGGCTAATTCATGCAGGATCTTAAAACAGTTCAAGCAGAAGAAGTTAAATATGGGCTTTAGCAATGGTTACATAGCACCATTGACTAACCTTTAAAAAAGAGCAATCTTAATGCTATTGACAAGTTTAAATATTGTTAACTTCTTACTAAGTGGTTCTCTCTAATTCTAGTACGCTTCACAAACACTGAAGTCAAACTTCAGAAATTCAAGAATTCAATTTTATAAATTAACTCTTTGCAAAAACTGAGTAATATTTTATCTTGGGCACATGGTAAAAAAAAACATATAATTTCTTACTCTTTGAAAGTAACAAACATTTCTCAAACTATTGAGGTACAGTGACAAGGACTGAAACATCCCATGTGTTTAACACAGCAACACAACCTGATAAATCACATTGCCACAAAATTACATGCATCTACTAGAAAGGAATACTTTTCCTGAAATTCTGCACAGAGAACAACTTGTGTCAGCAATAGAAATAAAATCTGAATTGCTGACATATTAGGTTAATCCATTATTTTTAAGTAATCTTAAATTTATATTCCAATATTCACCTCCCCAGTACTGAGCGCAGACAGTAGGGTTTTTTGTTGTTGTGGTTTTTTGTTTTTTTTTTTATTTTCACAACTGACAATCCGCTTTGAAAAGATTCCAGACATATCCTTTGACCCTGACAGATGTTTAGGCTCTTGCAAGCTTTTCTTCTCATCTCTCTTCATAAAAGCATATATAAAAACAAAATCACTATCAGCATTTTTGATCCACGTTTAAAACTGTTTGTTCCTCCTATCAGATATGCAATGATGGCAACAAATTACAAAGCACCATGTTGTTGATGAAAATATAATAGAATCCTTGTCAAATTTTATCACGTACAGTTCCATCCACAATTGTTTTGCAATAAGCTCATTAAAAGTAAGAGCACTGGTTCATTAGAAAAGCACTAATTAATTATGTAGTTGTTTAATTAGGTCTTCTCTGACAGAACAGAGACAGAAACATAAAACCAACAACACATCTAAAACATTCCAGAGGTGCTTCTCCACTGTGTAATTTCATGAAAAATGCCAGTTCTTTGATGCTGCTTACAATACACTTAAGAACAGCTCTCAGCTACATTGGGGTTCAAACATTCCCAGTCTTGCTGAGTAGGTGAACATCTCTCCACAAAACAAGTGTGTCAGGAAGACCAATGACCACCCTGCTGCTTGGGCCTCAAAGTGATTCTGGAGATAATAGCAATAAGTATATTTGCATACACTTTTAAAATTTAACAAGAACTCTTGAATTAAACATATTTTTAGAAAAGTGTGATAGGCATCCCCAAAAATATTACAGTACTCACCAGATGTGAGAAAGTTCCGGGATGGGCAGCTTTGATTTTGTGAAGAAATTCTTTGCTACGGAACCTGTTGGGAAAGCATGCCTCATCAACCATTGGGAATTAATTCTCCAAATTCTTCCCTTTTACCAGGTCTGCTGTGCCAGAAGCAGACAGTTAATTTATGCCCGAGAGATGCTCAGATTAATCGGATGCTATTGTAGATGCTGGACCATTTGTCTCCTTCTGAGTAAATGACAGAGAAAGCCAGACAGAGCTGTTGACCTCATTTCTCCATTCCCTCCATATGGGAAAAATAAATAAAGGGAAAACTACTTTAGCACTAGTAACTCTAACCTGCATAACAAGTATGTCACCAGTGATGAAATAACAGACACAAACAGCCCTGCTTCACCCAGAAGTCATGCGCACAGCAGTATGGTGCTTTGACATCTGCACTGCTCTCCCAGTGTGCTGTTTCAACCATGACTTTTCCCTGCAGTGAAAATTTTACAGAGAGGAAAAAAAAAAGAAAATAAAAAAGAAACTGCAGAAGATTCAGCTAGCACACAGCTCCTGTCCTACTGCAGGCATCCTCATTCACCCTGCAATAGCAGCCCTTCTCATAATTCTCATTAACAAACACATTTCTTCACCATCTCACATGCACAGGCTGTCAGCGGTACCCCAGAAGCCCTTCCTGGGTAGAGGCTTACAGATCATAAGGAAAAAAAGCACAGACTTCTGGGACAATAATCCTCTTCCCCTTGGGCAACCACTGGGGAAAGAACCAACACTGAACAATCATTTGTTCTTTGAAGCAAACTGCATGAAGGAGACTTAACTGAGATGAAGAACTGCTGAAGCAATAATTTCAGTTAGCAGCAGGTCATTTCTTTAAACTTTTGGCTGGATCAAAGCCTCCTGAACCCCAGTGACACAGCAGGGCTCATTACAACTGCCTCAGTTTAAAACCTGTGACATATTCCTTGCCAGACCAACTATCTGTACATGGTCATCTCCTCTCACAAGTAGCCTGGACCTTCTATTCAGGATGGAAATCTGAGTATGATCAGAGCCATCTCAGTATGCTCTTAACAATACTTCTATCATGTGTGTGCTCTCAATTAGGATAGTTTCCTAATTACCTAGAGGTCAAAATCTCAGTCCCCCAGAACCATAAACCCTCAGGCTTGACCGCCTTAACTACATGCTTCACTGTCATCACATGAGATTGTTTCCTAATTACCTAGAGGTCAAAATCTCAGTCCCCCAGAATCATAAACCCTCAGGCTTGACCGCCCAGGGCAGTTAACTGCATGCTTCACTGTCATCACATGGACACTGCCACAGCTCTGCTGGATAAGCCAGCACAACCCTCAGGGGTTTTTCAACTCAATATACACTGCAGGTGTGATCCAGAAATACAGCACATAAAATGCAGAAGAGTTCATTTTAATTTTTACCAAACTGCCAACACTTCTCCCTTAGATGTAATTATTTTTCTAAAATCGGGATATTTAGGAGAAAATGTAAGGGCCACAATATTGATTTGAATAGGCTGCCTTTAAAAAGAAAACATAATCAACTCTTACAAATGCGCTGCCAGAGACAAAAAAGCATTTATTTACTTAACACTTTTCACCTCCCAGCCTGGTCCCCCTATTCAGTGTGCACAGTGCTTGGAAAAAATTACCTGAAATGAAGGCGCTGAGGTCGGGCTGCAGGGACCTGAACTGGTTAATGTAGTAATCTCGCTGCTCCTCCGTTATCCTCCAAGGGTCATCCGAGTACTGGGCACTGCTGTCCTGCTGCTCCCGCTCCACTGAAAGAGACTGAAGGGAGGGACACTGCCACCAGCCACACTTTTCTATGGACTCACACTTTTCTATGGAGCACAGACAAATTTTCAGAAGACAAGAAGCAGAAATGGCCACACTGATGACCATCCCTCTACTTACCTGTGAAAACTGAGGCTATTATTAGGTATCTTTACCCCTGCAATTAAAGGAAGCTTTACACGACCAGGGGTCAAAGGAAATCTGGCTACTGCTGACCACTAAAAGTCTAAATCATATTTTATTACCTCTAGATTCATTCTGGGAGTCCTTTTTTTCTGCCACTCATTACAGCCCTGAACTGCACACTGCACACCTGAAATGGATGGAACCAGTAAAGACCCTAAAGCTGCATTTATGCAGCTTTGTGCATGAAAATTTATCTTCGCTATGAAACTACATATTTAATCTAGGAATGGTGCTGTAACTATGGAAATATCCCACGTCTGGACCCTCTGCTCACCCCAGTAACTCAGGACTCATACTAAGTCAGGGAGACACAAAAGTCCCTAGAGACCCCCTCAAACTTCTATCACTTCCCAAGGTTTAAGCAAAAATCTACCTTTGGGTAAAGGAATACTCTGGAGGAGAAGGATATTCAATTCAATTATTTCTTTGCTCTGTCTTTGGTCTCTGATTAATTTTTTTAAGGGAGGCCTGTACTTTTTGCATATTGGATGGAGGCATCTACAAGAGGGCTGCCAGTACAGCTGGTGTCTTTGTTAAAATGGAATAAATGAGTATTCAATATTTAAGCCTACATAAAAGGGAAGGCAAGAATGAACAACAATCAGCTGTGAAACCCTTTCTGTGACATACCTGTCTATTTCCCAAGAATCAAATGCAAAACACCAGTTCTGAAATACATCAAAAGATCCCTGAAACAGGCAACATCATAAAGCTGTAAATTAATTTTCATTTCAAAGTGCTACACAAATGCACCCAATTTAATTTCAAGTTAGCACAAATTATGTGACACTACCTGTAGATCTCTTTTGGAGGCTCAGGTGACATTTTATTGTGGGTGTGAGGTGCTAAGCACTCAGGAAAAGGTAGAGTCTCTGAGTCTTTCTTATTTAGGAGAATCTCTCGCTTAAGAGAGCTTTGCCCTTCCTTAGGGCAAACTAATTGTTCACATAATAAATGCACAGCAGGCACACTGGAACACAGAAAAGATCTGCTTTTACAACCAGCAGGAAAATATAAGACCCATTTTCAAAAAACAAACAAATTCCCAGAAATTAATATGTTCGTTTAAGGTGCAATTTAACCCACTGGGGTGAAAAACCAAAATATGCAGAATGTTAGCCAAAAATACTGTGCATGTGTCACAGATAGCAACCTAAATCAAGAAGGAATCTCTGTGAAATCTCATGTACTTTCAATGAAAATGTTTTACTTCAACTTACCTTTAGTGATTTAATTAATTTGATTGTTTATTTTAATTTCTCCATCCCATGAGATTTTTTTCCTCATATACCAAAAAAACCACAGTCTCTAGTCTAAAAACACCATGGAGAATACTTTTCACTTTCAAAGTCAGAATTTTCTGCCTTTTTAAAAATTTCTCTATTTTTGTTACTAATACTACTAAAGAAAAATATGCAATTCATTACCCGGTTAGGAGTTGAACAGGTGAGGGCAGATTTGGCTCCATAATTCTCTGAAGATGGTCCATCTTGCTGGTGAGTAGAGTGTCTAACTTCATAAGGAGCTACAACAGACATTTTAAATTAAGTATGTAAATGTCAGGATAATAAAAAAATGCTGCTAAGCTAAAGGAAATAATTAAATACCACAAGATAATTAATGTAGCTTGTGAACATTGTATCTGAGCATCAAAGTCCATTTGGTCAAGCATCTACCAAGTGAACCCATATCACAGTACCAAAGTCTATTTTGTCTTATGCAATAAATTTCCAGCCACATACCTGTCTTTCCCATTGCACCATTCTTCTTCAGACATTACTGAGATACTGTCACTTATATACTGCTAGACAACAGAATCACTGTTCATCATGTTTAAATATACATTTATACAGCCTGTCCATGCATTTATACATTTTATAATACTTACAGCCACATTTAGCAGAAGAACTATTTTAAGTAAGAAGAAATAATTCATTTGGTCTCTAAAAAATATGCTTTGGCAATGCTATCAAATAGCAAACCATTACTTCTCCATATACTCTTCTCTCTTCCTTAATTTCTGTTGAAAATCAAAATACATGACTCACCACTTTGTGCTATTTGGAGAAAAGTTAGTGAAGAAAAGTAACAAATTCTTCTTCTTTTGCTAAAAAAATAAGTCACTTAGGCTCCACTGCAGCAAATATAGTAAGCAGTGACACAACAACATATTTAGGAACGATGTTTTAAAAATAGGGCAAGCATTCAAACATAAAGGCAAGTCACTCGCAAACCCATACACAACTGAGAACTGCTACCAGCCTATTTAAAATTTACCATTACGAAGTCTACATTAGATAGTCAGAATCTTAAAGGAGTCCAAGAAATCTTAAAACTTTTGATCTCAGGAAGAGCATAAAAATTATGTCCCTAACCCCCTTGTTTTCCTAAGCGGTCTTATACTGTATTTTTATCTATTTTTATTCCTGTACAAGTCACTGCTAATTTCAGATTAAAAAAAAAAAAAAAATAAGGAAAGTGAAAAGTGAGAAACATTTTCAACTCAATATACACTGCAGTTGTGATCCACAAATACAGCACATCAAATGCAGAGAGCTCATTTTAATTGGGGAGATTTAAGGGAAAGGAATATTTAAACATGAAGCCTCACGGCTATATGCTTGCTAGCATGAAAAACTTTCAGAACTGTAAAATGTACACAGTCATGGCTGCAGTGCAGAGGCCTGCCCCTGAAGACACCCTGTCCAGTTTCAGCTGCAGAACAGCCCAGTCCAGCCCAGCCAGCCCCGGGCAGGAGCACAAGCACTTCCTCCACATGCCCCACACACAGCTGCCCTTTGGAGTGCTCTTCAGGAAACTTGAAGGGTCTTAACCTTAAAGACCAGGAAGAATCAGCAGGTCTTGCATTAGGCCTGGCATTTGGTACAGCATGGGTCATAAAATGTTAACGGCTCACTGCCATTGAAAATACATTTGACTGAAGTATCCCTAGTGGGATTAAAATAGGAGTGATTCGTTTTCTGGAAAACAGGAAAAATTGCTTTCTGAAAAACAGCCATTGTTCTGCACCTCTAAGATATTATTATCTTAGAAATTTGAGCAGTTAAATAATTTTGCAAGATGTTGACAGCTGGACTGGATGTTGCCTGATCACTTCGCATTGCTGCTGAGTCCAGGAGAAATTTCACAGAAGTTACATTTGCAACCAAATTCAGAAGGAAAAAAACCCCAACACCCAAAATCCTCTCTCATAGCACTGACAGATCTGGGACAGAGTGCCAGAAAAGAGCAGAGCACTCAACAGGTACACAGTCAGGCAGTCCTGAGAGACATTCCCTGCCCAGCTCTCCACAGCACAGGCTCTCTGCCACTCTTCTTCACTGGGGCAGAACATGCATTGTGCCAGACAGCAACTGCACTAGTGTGCTTCTTTCAGAATTAATCCCACCTCTTAACAAGCTGCAGTTTACCTACACAGCAGGGGAATGCCTATGACTCACTACTGGTACAATTTTCAGGTGGAGGCCACTTTATAGTATCCAACACATTCTTATCACAGCTGCACTGAGTTTCAACATGTTGAATAGCTCTTTTGTCACTCATCTGTAAATAAGGACAAAAGGTGAAGGACTAGCATGCTTCAATCTTCAGTCACTGCAAACACACTAAGGTAAAGCAGTAGGGATGATGGTATACACCAATGCCTCTTATTGCCACCAACTTGGTCACCACACGTTGTAATTACAAGAGCACAGGTGCTTTATAATTAAGAGGAACCTGTAAAGTCATAGTTAAACTGGCTTCCACCCCATTAGCCTCTTATTAAAATCTGAATGTTTTCCCACCTACTCTAATGGCACCAAAATGAGAGGCAGGACAATCTATGCAGTGCCTATTTTTGTCTGAATTGCTGAAGTTACACTGTGGGACTGCTTCTACATTCTCATCCTATTATTATTTCTGTAACAAAATCAGAGATGATAGTATCCATTCCTGCAAAGGACGGTTCACTTCCCATCTGAAAATTAATATGTGCCTACTGAAATCGGGAATAGGCTTTTCTTGCCCTCTAATGAAACCAAAACCATCATGCACTCTGACAATACTTGCAGGCTCTCTGCCACTGGGGTATATTGCAGAGCCTTGTCAGAGGTTAGGTATTAGCATTTGTGAGCAGTCAGACATAAATCTAATTTAATAGAAAGTGAATAGGAAGACAGGATTGAACACTCAAAATATATCGATTAAATAATTTTTCAAAACATGAGTCTAATTGAATTTTAAAATCATTATGCTGATTGTCACTAGCATTCAGAATTTGGATACTTCTGATAAGGGGAAAAAAATATTTGAATGCAATGTGCATTGCCATTTTTATCCTACCTCCATGCTGCTGTTCCAGCCCACTTCTTGCTTTGCCATATCCATAACTTAGGGGTATTCTCTGGTAAGTAGATGGAGAAGCAGGAGGTGAGCAAATTGGAGACATCGGAGGAGACTTGGCTTCCTGTTTCAAAAACACACCAACACAAAACACAATTCTGAGACAAAAATTGTAAGAAACAACTAAGTAATGCTGCAAAGTGGTCCAAGTGCATACAATATGATGGACAAACAAGAAAAGAAACCACTGCAACATCCTCGGGCCCTTTATTTCCAAGAAAATGCTTGAAATGGACAAGACAGGATTTGGTACTGAGCCTTCAAGGGATAAAGCATGGCAGTGCAATAACAAAGCTTTACAATGGTCAGCTCAATGTCTTTTACTCCCAAAGATGCCTGAAGTAGTATATGTAGAAGGCTCAATGTGAGTGGATAGCTTTGAATTTACAGTGTGAGTGCGTTCTTTGTGGGAGATCATTTTTCATATTAAAAAAAAATGTACAAAAAATTAAAACACATCTCTGGATCAGTATTTTAAACACTGTGGATTTGTATCACTGGGTAACTATCCTGAAGCTTCCTCTTTTCTTTGAGTTACTGAGATTGCTTGAGAAAAGGATGTAAGCCTGAAAGGTTTTACTGAATAAAGAGGAAAATGTAACACAACACAGATAATCCAGATGGAGCCAGGGGTTTGAGGGCAGTGTTCTGCCTGGGTGTCAGTACACAGAGGACAGGCATACATGCTCTTCTTCCTGATCCTGTTATTCCACCTGTGTATCTTGTCATCAGCTCACTCCTGCTGGCTGACCTCGGGCTGGGAACGTCGTTACTGACGCCAGCACACCCCGTGATAAACATGGGCACATGTTTTGGGAAGATAAAAGTGCTTCCACCAGGCACTTACAACATGACCTGATACAGTACCAGAGGAGAAGGTGTCAAGCCTGGGGAAAACTATGCAAATCAGTTTTTATGAAAATTATGCAGCACTGTGAAGCTTCTTGTATCTGAACAAGTACTCTCTACTATCCTAAATACAGGTAATATGAATGTCCCTTGGATTCTTCATTAAACTGGCATCTCAGAACAACAGATGCTGGGATAATGTTTCACTCAGGAAAAAAGAAAAGCAGATCTTCTGGACCATTCCTTGGTGAGATAAAAATGAAAGAAAACTTGGGGTCCTTACCCCACCCAAAAAGAGTGGCTCATGACTGAACACTTTGTCTCCAATTGAGTATTTCTAGAGTGACTAAGGGCCATTAGTCCATTACCATACTGGCCATGGGAAATCACTCACTTTCCCACTCTCTTTCACAGACAGATTTCTACTTGCTGCTTCTCCCACTTCCTCTCCAAGAAACAGTGCTGGATTAAGTAGGAGGAAAACACTGAAAGAACTTACACAGAACTTACACAGGGCTAACAGCTTTATACAAGCTCATATAGACAATTTTCTTCTGGGAAGCAACTGGAATGCATCAAAACCAGAACACAGGCATGATGGGGATTATTTGCACATGAGGAGCTCATCTCCTGTCCAGTGTTGGAAAATTGAGTAAACCCCTGTGAGTGTAATCATTTACAGGACTGGACCTAAAAGGAGAATGCATAATGACATGTTGGCCTGAAGGAGACAAGCCTGTTACCTGTTTGTCCCCTTCATCTGTTCTTTTGTAGGAATTTTTTTCCAAAGTTGCATGTGGAACCTGAAATTTAACTCCATGGAATTCTGCTGGAGTCCCATAACGGACTTCAGTGTCATTTTTCAGCGCCATAAATCGTGGTAGAGGCAATTCTGTATTAAGAGAGAGAAAAATTCAATTGAGACTACAGAACATAAGAAGCACTTTAAGCAGTATCATCTTGTAAAACCAATGAAAAGTTTATCTATAAAAGACTGCTAGTTATATTTTGTAACATTTTTAAGTGTGGGACTCCTTTGATTATTTTATGTCTTAATAAAAATGTGAATACTACACAAAGCTACATTCACTAGCTTAATATATAATCTCTCCATGAAAAGAGAAAGAAATAAGCCTTGTGCATACTACTAAAGCAAGAAGTAAACTCATTTCCTGCCTTCAAAACCTTGCCTGTAATGAAAAGAACAGTTCCCCACAGAAACTGTGGGACAGATAAATTAATCAGTCAAGATCACAGTATCCTCAACGCTGCCATCATAAAAGGAACAAATCAAAAATGCTAGGGTTCAGAGACCACACCAGGGCCTAGAGACAGCTGTGTCAAAAGGTCCCATGTTGCATCTGCTGTGCTGAGCAAGAGACTGACACTCTTGCACTCTTTAAGACAATTCCCAATTATTCTGCAGAAACACTATTTATTTTTGTGCACCGTCATCCTAAAAGACCAATACAATTAAAATTAACAGAATACTCAACACCAAGCAAAGCCATTTGTCCATCATCTCTGTAATCTTTTACACCTACATTTACAACCACGAGAAAAATAAATCAATTGGAATTCGGTACATATTACTCAGTTCACTCTAAAGGCACTCATATATATTTTCTAAAGAAAATGTAATTAGCATGGGAAGAAGTTTTATTGAAATTTTACTGAAACAGTAAGTAAGCAGGATATCAATACAAGGACTGCAAGTACCTGTTTTCCTTCAAATTTGTGGATAATTTTCATATGCTGGACTTGTAAAGCATACAGAGTAAATCTCAGTCCAGCTTTTTAATTTAGCTTGTTGGGAGGTTTTTATTGTTTGGGGTTTTTTTGTTTGGTTGGGGTTTTTTTTGTTTGTTTGTTTTTTTTTTCTTTTTAATTAACATCTTTGAAAAGGACAGCAATGCAAGAGAAAGTGCATAAGCTGTTCATAAGGAAAACTGGCAGACAAATCGAGGCCACTCCTCTTCACCCTTGGTTCAAACTCCTGTTCCAGCAAGGCACTGAACCGAACTGTGCCAGCTGCATCTGGCCCCCTGCACTTGGCCAGGAGCTCTGCACCATGGGAGCTCAGCCATGTGCTTGCCATTCTGGCCTTCCCTCCCTGGGATGGGGCAGACCTGGGAACCCTCTCCCTGTGCCTTGCAACGCACATGAATTTGACGTTTCACTGCCCTTATCAGGGAGAGCAGAGCAGAAGCTGTGCTGCGATCAGGAACCTGATTGCAGAGTTGTGGGTAGGTGCTGCCTTTCCAGCCCTCTCTCTGATCTTGCAGCTGGTTGCATTGCTCCTCCAGTGGGATGGTGCAAGCACAGCCTCAGGGCACGGCTTGAATGCCCACCCAGGATATGGGAGCTAAGGGTTCCAACCTGTTCCAGCTCAAGCAAAAAGCCCCGTGTTTTGAAGCCCAAGCCCTGTGTTTTGAAGCCAGAGCCCTGCTGAGGCAGAGTGTGCATCACTGAAGGAAGAACACTGAGTTCCTTCCAAGTTGCTATCAAGGTTTCACAGCTGAAAGAGACCTGCTTTCTCTCTTCATCGCTTGAGTTAGATTAAGACTTTTCAAGAAGCTTTCTTCCCCACCAAAAATGGTACATTTAATATTACTGTCAATTCATTGAGAAGAATAAAGCTGTTTTAAAATACATCTAATATACATTTTCACACCTATCCACAGTAAGCACTATGATTTTATCTTCACTACCCATTTATTCTGGCAGGATTATCTGTGAAAGCAGATGAGTGTTACAATCTGCCCTGCACAGAGGGACTCCCTGACCTGCCCATGTCCCCCACAATGTCCCTCCACCCAAAGTAGCTATCAGCTCTCACTCTGGACAGCTGTCAAGATTAGAGGCTGAAAGTGAGAGAAGAATGCATCTCCCACGCTGATCATCTGTCATTCCTGCTGCTCCTTTGCAATGCCTTTTCCAGAGGAAGATGTCATTTCAGATCTCCCATATCTGTAATTCCCTGCAATTTTCCACCACTCACCTAGAGCACGTAGCATTACCTTCCACTCTTTCTCTGCTCCTTAAATTTTTCAGAGAAACATAAGAAGGAGTTTACCACCACGGAGAGCTGACAAGCGTTAAAGAAAAGGAGAAACAAGTGCATAGCACTGCAAGCAAAATTTGCTACTTACCATTCTTAATGCTCTCAATCCGTACTGGGAACCCCGACTGTGCTGCCGCAATTAACTTCAAAGCAATATAAAACTGAGCAGGACCAAAATAACCCACACGCTTGGCTCCACAAACTTCTGTAATCTGAGAGAGAAGACACACATTGTCAGTTAAATGAATTTCGTTCTTCCAGAGGTTAACATCTCCATATAAACAAAGAAAACACTTTAAAACCACAAAATGCTTGTTGTATTTGAAGTTGTCTACTACATGTATTTGTTTCAACTCAGAACATTAGGAGAGATGTTGGTAGTTGGTAGACCAGAGACAGGTTGGTAGTTGCTACACTTGTCAGAAGCACTGCTGGTTGACACTGCTATCCTAAAACAAGTTATGGGTTTTTGTACTATGTAAGATTTTAACAGCAGGGGAAATGAAAAGTTCTTAAGTACTCTGTCCAGTAAAACATTTCCACCAGGAAAATTATACTTAATATTAGCCCTAAAACAGCAATTCAGATAATCACCGTAACTAGAACATAAACACAACAAAAGATCGCAGCACACCACTTGAGCAAACGTTTTGTGTGAAAAATTAACATGATCTTAGCACTGAAGTTTTAAGTTCCATGAATACATCATTACTTGCTTCACTCTGACACTTCCATGAAGCAAAGAGCACCAGGTTCACACACCCAGACAATGCCTAAACAAACAGCAGGTATCAGCAGGTTTTAAGTACAGGCACCAATTCTCCCATGCCTGGAGCTCCCAGATGTTCACAAACAAACCTCAGACAAGCACTGAGGTTAGAACAAAACTCCATTTGCCCCAGACATAATAGGAAATCTCAAATTGTTTTCCTGAAAATACACCTAGATTAGCAATGTCTACTGGCTGGTGAGGTGCACCCTCTGTGACAGTCTTCCATGGGCAAGTGTTGCTTCTGGAAAGCCACATCTGTGGATTGGCTCCCAAGCCACAACAGCATGACAGAAAGTATTAAACTGCATATAAGCAAAGAGCACAAATGAAAGGTCTATTTTTTCTGATTTATTTTTATATGTATATATACACGTACATACACAGTGTCAAAATGTCAGGTCAAAAAATTACTTCAAAAATCAAACGTTTTGGAATGGTAATTCTTACTAATCAAAGACAATTGTTTTCAAGTAAACCCCTTCTTCTCTGGATGGGGCCTCTGCTTTGACCAAATGAGCTCTGGCTACTTTCTCTTCCTACAAGTTTCAGACTTGGTCACAAGACACATCAAATAGTTTTTTGCTCCTACTGCTTGATGAATAGGGAGATTGAATCTTTGTATAAGGACAGTTTCGATTAACCAGAAGCATTTGTCATTCTCTTTCCTGTCACCACCATATTTTCTGGAAAAATCCCTTGCCCAGGATTTCTCTCCTGGGAAGCTGAGAAGCCTCAGAGAAAAAGGAAAACAGTATTATCTCATTTGCTTCTCCTGTGTTTTGCTGCTTTGGAGTGTGGTTTGGAGATTGTTTATCCAATAGGTGATTATTTCATTGGTTGCATGTGAATTGTTTTTACTTATCTGCCAATTATGGCCAGCTGTGTCATCCTGTCTGAGGAGTCACGAGTTTTCATTAGTATTCTTTCTAGCTTTCTCTCTGTATCCTTTCTGTATTTAGTATAGTTTAGTATAGTTTAGTTTAGCATTCTTTAATATAATATATCATGAAATAATGAATTAGCCTTCTGAGAACATGGAGTCAGATTCCTTCCTTTCCTCGCCTTCATCGGGGGACTCAGAAAATACCACACTTTCCTTTACTTTTTTCTCTGTTACTGCATCCTTTTTTATTCTGCCCTTCCCTCTATCACTGGTATTGCTTCTTTATTTTCCAGTGGGAAAGCAAGGCACTTGGGACACGTCTGAGATGGATGACTGGGCACACCCTTAGTACCCTTTCTGAGCTCCAAAGCAGGGTTCTCCTCTTGGTCCTGGATGCTCCGAATTCACTCAGTCCCACTGCCCACACTACCCACTCCTGCATGGTCCTTCCCCAGCCAGCAGCCCCAGCTCTGCCTGGTGCAGTGGTGTGCAGCGCAGACGACTGGACTGGACCACGGACAAGGAATGTGCACAGCAGCGGCACTTCAGACAGCTCCTCATGGGCAAAACCTCCAGGCACGCCGGGATCCGGCAGCTCTGGAGACAATGCTGTTGTGGCAGGTGTATAAGAAGTCACCAGCTTGTCCAAGCCACCAGTCACCTGCCTGGGGAGAAGCAGATAGAGACGAGGCACAACCAAGCTGAAATTCAGTCTGGGTTCACAGCTCTGGTCTGTTATAGGAGATGTTTGTTTAAAACATGCCAGCGCTGAACAGGGAAGTTGGCAAAAGCTGGGCACCCACCAGCAGCCAGGCCCTCCCATGGAGGCAGTGGGTGCTCAGCTCCTGTGTGACCCACAGGCAGTGCCTGGCATGGCTCCTGCTGTGGGGCAGAAATGGCACACAAAGTCCCTGCCTGTGCCTATGGGGACTTTCCTCCTCTTGGCCTCTTTTCCTGCCATAGCTACACTTCCTGCCCTGCCCATGCCTGCTGACATGGAGCAACAGTGTCACCATGATGTGTTTCCTCTCGCTGGCTGCTGGAAAAAGGCAATACTGAGCAGCTGGGACTTTCACAGAGATGCTACTACTTTCCTGAGTTCATTTTCCATGTATTTTCTATACTTTTGAAAAATTAAGGTTGCTGAATGATGCAAATGCTCTGCTTACTCCTCATATGGAAACATTAGTATTTTATTCTGAACAAGCAGACTAAACATTTTTATCAAGGACATCTCACCCCTCAAAAATACAGTGATGTTTCTCAAGCACACACTTACAGCCAACCAACCAGAAATTGCTTCCCTGTAATTTTGCTTTTTGATAACAACAGAAATAAATTTTGTAGACACAAGCTTCTGTTACTTGTGCAACAGGACTCTGTTCATGGTCCAGAGCAAAAGATGGAAGCTGACAGAGTAGTCAAATTTTTTACACAATTAATTGTGGGCATTTATGTAGGTTAACTGCAGCTACAGGCATTTACTCACATCAGGTTCCTTGTCCAGTTAAAGGAGAGGGTCTTGGGTTCCTTCCAGCCAGCATTTCACACTATCTGCATCAAAACCCTGCTTAGAGGTGCCAACAGAGCAGCCCCTCTCCAGCAACCACAGAAGTTGGTAGCAGATTAGTCTTTATCCAAAAGTAAATCCTCAGAACATGCTGCCTGCCCAAATTTCCACAGCAGCTTAAATTGAACACTGCATTATTTTTTTGTTTCCTGGTTTTACCTTTCACAGGGTCAGTGCACATAGCTTTTTGATGGGCAGATTACACTTAGTGATATGCAATTCTGAAATTAGGCAAGTTTGTGTGATATGCTATTAGAAGTCTTCCAAGGTCCATCCAAGTTAAAGGCACTGCATATGAATATAGTATGGTATTTTTTCATTTAAATCCTTGAATCTGTTGTCAGTTTGGGTTGCATGCTTTTTAGCAAGCCAGCAAGAAGAGAACTGGTATTTTCTGCTTGTGCACTGCTAAACAGACACACATATAAATCAAAAAACTTGCATGCCTTGATACTTCAAGGGATTTTAATGCAAAACTATTGACTGTCCATTTATATTACAATTTTTCCTTTAATTCTCCAGCAGAAAACGGTAATCCTCCAGTGACTGCAAAATATTGAAGAAAAGTGTAATGAGAATGTATTGGAAATAATTTTTCATGGTGGTGGGTTACAGATGTTATTTGCCAAATCTAACCTCAGGACAATAAACAGAGTTAGTCCAAAATCACACAAAATCACAGAATGGCTGGGATTGGAAGTGACCTCTGGGAATCCTCGAGTCCAATCTCCCTGCTCAGGAGGTCAGGATCACCTAGAGCTGGTTGCACAGGATGGCACACAGGAAAGTTCCAAAAATGCCCGGAGAAGGAGAATGTGCCATTCTTACAGTAAAGAAGTTATCCTCATTCAGAAGGCACCTCCTGTGTTTTACTTTGGGCCTGTTGTCCCTGGTCCTGTTGCTAGGCACCACCAAGCAGCCTGATTCCATCCTCCTGACACCTCCTTTCAGATACTTACACAACACTGAGAGCATCCCTTCTCTATATTCCTCAGGCTAAACAGGTCCTGGCCCCTCAGTCCTCTCCTAAGAGATGCTCCAGTCCCCTGGTCATCTTTGGAGCAGGGATGCTTGAACTTTAACCTCTTGGACCCATCCCATACCTTCTAGACCCCTAACCCATGGGATTCTTCCAAGTAGATCCTTGAAAAGGCCAAACTTAGGTCTCCTGAAATCCAGGGCAGGGACCCTACTTTCTGCCCTGTTTCCTCCACACAGGTTCTTGAACTCCACCATGTCATGGTCACTGCAGCCAAGGCTGCCCCAGCGTTCACATCCCAAACCAGTCCTTCTTTCTTCATTAGCACAAGGTGTAGCACCACACCTCTCCATGCTGGCTCCTCCACTGCCTGTATCAAAAACTGATCACCAGTGCTCTGCAGGACTCTCCTGGACTGTGTGCCCTGTCGTGTTGTACTTCCAGAAGATACCAGAGTGGTTGAAGAAGGTGGTGAAGGCTTGTGATCATGAGCGTACTTCCAGCTGTCTGTACAAGGCTTCATCGACTCCTTCTCCCAATCAGGTGGCCTGCAGCAATATTCCAGTCAAGGAAAATTGCCCTGTTCAATGGTTTGTGAGGCAAGAACACAGCTGAGTAAACAGTGGGTATTCAGCAGGTAGCCTTAACACACTTGTTCTGCAGAGGAATCACACCATATTCTCTACCAAGCACCATAAGAAGGGGAGAAAGAGCAAGATCTATAAGCCTGCACACCTTCTGACAGGTAAGAAGTTGTTCTAGGGTTGCAAAAATAAATACTTTTTAGTAGTATTAAAAAACAAATCTCCAATTCATAAACATTAAAATTTGAAATATAGCTATGAGCTCTTCAGAAGAGTTGCTGTTTGAAACCACTGTGCTCCATGCAAACTTCTAATAGAAAAGCTCTACACCTCCAGGTACTGGAACACAGAGCAGATTTTTGTTTTTTTTATCCACTCACTGCTCTGCTCTTTTGGCCAACAGCAAGTGTTATTTTTATAATTG